TGATTGTCTTATAATATGCATAGAAGAAAATCTACTCAGGGAAGTCCTGTAAAGGTCACATTCAAAAACATATAGAGGTTTAGCTCTATCAAATTCTGCTTAATTTCTGGGGTTAGTGATGGTAAGTTTTCTTCAAACATTTGCAAACTGACATTATTCCGACCTCTCATTGAGAGCAAAATTTGGTTGCTAACCAAGGCAAGTATCCAGAATTGACTCTACTATTCTGTCAAACCAATAGCATGCCAATAGACAATGTATAATATGCCAGGCGATGTCCCTGCAGAGTGTTCTGAGTTAGACCAGATGCCCGTGTGATAGCTCACTCTGGGTCAGAGGAAAGGGTAAGCCAATGACATTCAAGCCACAATAAATAGATTTCTTCATCAATCAGAGTGTATACAAGATAAAGAGAGAAGAGCTCAACCCTAATTCCATCTGGCTCAGAAGTCTGTAGAACAATAAAGGAAAGAAGTAATCTGACAAAGATATTTTATTCTTGGACCAAAGAAAACCTTTTCTCAGAACAGTCCTATAACTGATATGAAACTGGCAAAACAAAATAGCTCCACCCATTAAAAACTGGCTATCAGAACCAAGTGCTGGTGGCTCACAGCAATCCTAGCTTCTAGGGAAGCTGAGAATGGGAGGATTATGGTTCAAAGCCAGCCCAGGTAGAAAGTTCACAAGACCCCATTTCAACTGATAGCTGGATGCAAAGGCATATGCCTGTCATCCTAACTTATGTGGGAAGCTGAAAATGAGAGGATCATGGTTCCAGACCAATATGAACAGAAAAGTCTGGGAAACTCCAGCTTAATGTAAAGATGCCAGGCATAGCTGTACACATTTGCTAGTCCAGTTTGGGTGGAAAACCTAAAATAGGTGGATCACAGTGCAGGGACACTCAAGGACAGAAAGTGAGACTCTTTCTCAAAATAACCAGTGCACAGAAAGGGTTAGAGACATGGCTCAGTGGTAGAGTTCTACCTGGCAATCACTAGACTGTGAGTTCAAAGCTAGTATCACCAAATATATGTATATATGGGTATCACAGGTAAAACAGTGAAATGGAAGTTCATAAATAGAATTATTGAGCCAGGTGCTGGTAATTCTAGCTACTCAGGAGGCAAAGATCTGAGAATTGTGATTCAAAGCCAGGGCAGGAAAGTCCATGAGACTACTAGCTCCAATTTCTCATAAAAAAATCCAGAAGAGGTGATGCAGCTCAAGTGGTAGACTTGAGCAAAAGATGTTTAGGGACAGCACCCAGGCCCAGAATAAATAAATAATAGAACTTTTGGGTTATTCTGATCATTGTGCAGCTTTAAAAAAATCAACATCATGCACTGAGTGTTAATTTTGTTTCAGAACAGGCCATCAAATTAATGCCAGCTCTGGAGGAAATTAATTAAGAAACAAACAAAAAGAAGAGTTTAACTCTTTCAGGTCACTGGATTTAGGGTAAATATGCACAGGCAGTGGCAAAAATAACTAAGGATGTGGTGACCAACTGCTTTAAAATAACTGAGAGTGAATACAAACCTTATATATCTCTGCTATTCCTTTGTAATTTCCATAAGCTGTGCTAACTAGCCCTATGGAGGCACAGTTAGATAAATCTGCCCAGAATACTCAGGGTGACTCATTAGCAATCACACCACAAATATATTCTGTCTACAAATATATTCTATCTGAAGACCCAATCTTTTCTTATAGAGACTATGACTGGGGTGCCAATTCTTTCAATGTGAGGCTTTCAGAAGTCTCCAATGACAAATTTGGCCCTTCACTACACAGGTGACTCATGAAATGAAATATTTTCAAATAAACACCAATAGATTCGAGCAAAAAGAAAAACTTTATGAAAGAACAGAGATAAAATATCTCTGTAAGCTTTGCCAATAGTAAAGCATATATTGGCTAGTAGTGACATTTTACCCACTACATCCACCCCCACGCACTTATTATCTCTTCTGTATAAGGGTTTACTCTTTCCAAAGAAAATCAACTTATACTAGTAGATGAGCTATTAAAATAGTATCCAAAATGTCTACCTATCACATATCAGAAGTAATATGAACATTGAGATTTCTGGATACTCCTACCATTAAACTAAGAAATCTTTGGAGTCAGACAATCATAACTTGAAATACTACTAGCTGTGACTGTGCATATTATGTAACCTCCCTGAGCTTATTTTCTACTATGCTGGATGTTTGTGTTTCTTTAATCATGCCTTACAGGGAATGGGAACTAAAACTACATCTATACATATTACATCACAGGGCACTTTTATGCAGGAGGGTAGTCAGTGAGTATAAATTCCTTTACTCTTCATTTCCAATCCCTACCTGCTTTTTGTTATATTTATAATATATACTTTATATATATTTACATAAAATATTTATACAAATATAGCTATAAAGTTTACTTACAAAATATAATATTTACAAAGTGTTTACTTCTGAGTTCCCAAACATCAGCTCCACTTCTGGCTTTCTGGTGGTTAAAGTCTCACAAATTTCAAAGTACAATCCTTAGATCTCAGTCTCCTGAGTAGCTAGGATTACAGGCATAAGCTACCAGTAAGGTGCTCCCATCATTTTTAATGTAAGCACATGGCATTAATAACACCCCTAGCATTTTCCTGACATCTGCAGTAAGTAAAGAGAAAATTCAGCTTTGAAAAGTAAATACTTGGGGCTGATGGCTCAGTGGTAGAGCACTTGCCTTGCATGCATGAGGCCCTGGGTTCTATTCTTCAGCACCACATAAGCAAAAATAAAAAAGCTGGAAGTGGCGCTGTGGCTCAAGTGGTAGAGCACTAGCCTTGAGCTGAAGAGCTGAGGAACAGCACCCAGGCCCAGAGTTCAGGACCCACGACCGGACCCCCCCCCCAAAAAAAAGAAGTAAAAACTTAATACAGCAATGATGACGTTCAAAACTGAGTTGCTTTTGTTCCTGTTTTACCATGCTGCAAAAATGTGACTCACTCTCTATCCTACAACTGCAATCATTTCAAGAGCTTCCAGAATTGTCTAGCAGAAACTTGCCTCTATTAAGCCCATGCACTGTCCTGGCAAAATCCCACAGGAGTAATCACTTCCTGGCATAATTTTCCCCCTAGATTGAAGGTTTGTGTACAAAAGCACCTATTAACATAGAGGTCAGTGTAAAACAGAAATAGTGCATGCATCAAATTGCCCCAAGCTTTGAGAATGTCATTTTTCTGAGGTTCAGCTCACAGCTGGTGGTTATGATGAGCAAGCCTTTCCCCACTTGCATTCTATTCCTTTTCTGCAACCTATACCAGTCCCAAAGGACTTCATAGGAATTTGCTAAATGTCTACATTATCATTATTTAAACCCAAATCTTTTTGTATGCTTTCAAATGCTATAACCTAAGATTTCTGCTTCACCAGTTCTTGGTTTCTTTGATTCACTACCCTTCTATTTTCTTAATCTGTAACCTGCCTCCTGTGGTTTACTCAGCATAGACTAACATGAGACTCTTCTGATATGTAAATATATATCCATCTGCAATACCCATAGGAAAATCTACTCTTGACTAATAATGAAAAATTCTGTGCTTATGCATTACCTCTTTCAAGATCATTAATTTAGCATGTGACAATATGACTAATAAAACATAACAATGTGTGAATAAAAAGATATCACAAAAATATACAAGAGACAAAATATTAATTCATTTGAACTAACGCTAATAGCCCTAGCTAGAGTAGTGGTTCAGAAGGATAATTCATCACTATTTGTAAGGTAAATTTTTAGCTTTTGCAATTAAAGTTTAATATATCACTTCAAGCATGCACGTAGACAAAAATACTATTCAAACACACTGACACACTCATTCACTTTTTGATAATTTATGTCCATTCTTCATAACAATGAGCAAAATTGCCTTATTCTTAAAATTCAAACCTAGTACATATACTGCTAATATCTGTACTTATGTGCAGTAACTCATCCACGTTCCAAGCCTTTTGTAGCTATTACAAACCAAATTTTAGTAAAAAAAAAAAAAACAAAAAACAATGAGCATGTGCTTTGGAAGTATTGTTATTTTACTTAAAGACATGAGGAGCTTGAAAAGTCTACTTCATATCTCATCAAATGATCCACTGGGAATCAAAAGATGATGGATTGCACTTATGAGGAATGTAGAAATATAATCTTCAAATGAATTCAGTGTATGCCAAGAAAGGTAGCAAATTGGAATTCTTTTTCTCTTTCTCCCCAGACTCTGTTCTGATGTTCAATGTCCCCATCTCATTCTACCATATCCACTGCCTAGCCAGACAGATTGGTACTTGAGGTTTTGCCTTAATCATTATCCATTTCCTCATACAGAAGAATGACCACATCAGACAGCTACAGCAAACTCTGGATTCAACATAAGGGCTAAATACTATGGCTTTATCATGATGTGAATTTCCAGAAGATCCTATTACATTATCTAGTGAAATTACTACAGTTACTAACTAGACAACGTGCACTGCAGACAGTCCAAAGTATGAACAGGACTGGTATACAGAGGTGACTCTAACAGCCCCTAGAGGTCTCAGAGCTTTTCTAGAAAAGGAAGAAATAAAAACAGTCCTGCAGGATTTTAAAAAGTAACAGCAGAGGCCTTTTCTCCTTGAATCGCATAATGTTATTTCCTAAAACATTATTCTTATTTCCAGGCCTGTTCTATTTCCCTACAGAGCTGTGCTTTCATATCACATATTTAAAACTAATCCTCACTTTTCAAACAATTAAATGGATTATTCCTGATACAAGTGAAAAGAAAAATGGGAAGTAAACCAATTCCCTAGTGCTTCTTTTCTAGAAAGGAAACACCAGATTACAAGCAGATCATTAATATCATTTACCAATAATTCCTGTCAACTAAAAATTCAGAAGACCATCCACATACTATTGCGAGACATGTAAAAATAATGCATTGTCTTCTAGAAGACCTTTGACCACTATCTCACCTCATTTTGAGGAACAGCCTCATTTTTGAGAATAATCAGGTTCCCGGCACTCTGCCCACTCTGGCCTGTGAGGTGCCTGCTGTCAGTCACTGCTGCTTGGGCTCCCCCAGGCCCTGGTCCTGTCTGGGCCCCTGTGTTGTAAAACATAAAAGTATCACTCCCTGAGCCTGCTGTCAGGCAGGCCTTGTAGCAGTAGGTCTTGGTGAGGGAGCCATTCCCTCGAACCTCAATGAAATGAGGCTGTACTTTGAGGCCATGTGGTATCCTGGCATCAATATTGTTGTTGGCCTGCTTGTACAGTTCTGCAGGGCACCGCTCCCTCACTCCACAAAAACCTCCACAGCATGAAGTGCCATAGGCAGTGTAGTGATAGCACTTGATGATGCTCAAAACAATGATTGTCAAAAGAAATATAAAAGATACTGTGCTTAATGCTATTATCAGATAAAGTGTAATTTCAGAGTAGGTCCGAGGGCTCTTAACATGTCTCTGAGTATCCGGGAGGATTTTAGAAACCCTGTCCACCACAGCTACGGTAATGGTCACAGAGGCTGATAGTGATGGCTCTCCATTGTCACGGACCACCACAGTCAGATTGAAAGTTGTACCACTTTCATCTCCTATCTTCCTGGTAGTCCTAATTTCTCCTGTGTGCAGCTCCACTTTAAAGAGATCCACGTCAGAAGTTTGGGCTAGATGGTAAAAGAGCCAAGCATTTTGCCCAGAGTCTGAATCCATGGCTATAACTTTGGTGACCAGGTAGCCAGCTGGGGCAGTTCGAGGCATCATCTCAATGGCTGCTGATGAATTGGTTGAGGTAGGGTACAGGATGTGAGGGGCATGGTCGTTCATATCCACTACATACACATTGGCAGTCACAGTGCTGCTCAGTGGTGGGCTCCCCTTATCTTGGGCTTCCACAGTCACAAAGAACTCCCGAAACTTCTCATAGTCAAAGGAGTTGACAGCGTAAAGGCTGCCACTGGCACTGTTAATGGAGACATACGAGGTGACTGGCAGCCCTTGAATCTCCCTGTCTAGGAGAGAGTAGGTCACCTCTGCATTCTCCTTTTCATCTGGGTCTGTGGCTTGCACGGTGCAGAGTAACACCCCAGGCAAATTGTTCTCCTGGATGTAGATGGAATAGGAGTCCTTTAGAAAGCTGGGTGGGTTGTCATTGATGTCAGAGATCTCAACCCGAAATGTCCGCTGGGATGTGAGCTGTGGTGTTCCCCCATCAGAGGCCGTCACTGTGATATTGTAGGCAGCCACTCGCTCCCGATCTAGTGGCCCACTCACCTCCAGTGTATAGGAGTTTCCAAAGCCATTCAGCCGGAAAGGCAAGGTGGCCTCCAGACCCAGTCTCACTTGCCGGTTGGGACCTGAGTCTTGGTCATTGACACTGAGAAGAGCCACAACAGTGTTGGGTGCTGCGTCCTCAGGCACTGGGCTATATAAGACCGTGAGCACCACCTCCGGTGCATTGTCATTCACATCCACAATGTCCACCAACACCTTGCAGTGACCCGCCATGGGCACTGGACCCCGGTCAGTTGCTTGCACGTAAATCTGGTAGGAGGAAGCCTCTTCATAATCCAGTGCTCCGCTTACTCGAACTTCCCCTGTCCTGGCATCAATGCTGAAGAGCTGCCTCTCCCGGTCCGAGGTGTAGCTGCTCAAGGAGTACAGAAGCTCACCGTTGGAACCCTCATCCGGGTCCGAGGCATTGAGCTTCACCACCAAGGTGCCTGGAGGAGCATCCTCCCGCAGCTGGACACGGTAAGTGGACTGATCAAAGGCAGGAGAGTTGTCATTAGTGTCCAGGACCCGGACAGAGATCTGTGCGGTGCCCGAGCGAGCTGGGCTGCCCCCGTCCATGGCTGTGAGAACAAGGTGGTGCAAGGCTGCCTGCTCGCGGTCTAGGCCCTTCCGCAGCACCAGCTCCAGCACCTTACTGTTCTCCTGCAGGGGTTTAAGGTCCAGTTCAAAGTGCTCATTGGGGCTCAGTTCGTAGGTCTGCACCGAGTTGGCTCCCACGTCCGGGTCCTGCGCGCTCTCTATATGAAAGCGCGCTCCGGGTGCCACGGATTCGCTTACCTGAAGCTGATAGTCGGTCCGCGGAAAGCGGGGCGAGTTGTCGTTGATGTCGAGTATTTCCACCTCCACGGCGCTCACCGCCACGGGGTTGTGTGCCAGCACTTCCAAGCTGAGCAGGCAGCGAGGCCGCTGCTCACACAGCGCCTCCCGATCAATGCGCTCGTTGACGAAGAGCGCGCCACTCGTCAGGTCCAGCTCCAAGTAGCGTGGGCTGGGCGCACCCTGATGGCTGATGCGCAGGCAGCCCGGCCCCAGGCGCCGCAGCTCCAGACCCAGCGCTCTGGCCACGTTGCCCACCAGCGCGCCCGGTGCCTGCTCCTCGGGCACCGAGTACCGTAGCTGGGAGGCCGCTGGGCCCGGCAGCAGCATCAGCAGCAGCAGGAGGAAAGACAGCGGCAGCAGCCAGGGTAGGGGCCGCCGGACGCGTGGATGCTCTGTCGCCCGGGGTTTGGCGCCCGCCTGCTCCATAGCCACCGGCGGTGGCGGAGGCAGCCGGGCAGGGCCGGAGGCAGCAGCTTGGCCAAGCCGAGCTCCACGCCCGGCCCCGCCTCCGCCTCCGCCTCCGCTCTTGCGGCCCCAAGCCGGCTCCTCTAAGCCTCACGCGCTAGCAAACGCCTGGGGCCGCTCCCCTCGCAGGGCCCCCTCAGGGGCTGCTGGCCCCGCGATCCCCGCTGATTCCCCATATCCCAGCTCCTCCACTCGCCTCAAGTCTGAGAGCTCTAGTCCGCTTCCTGCCGCTGCTGCTGTTCCTGGGGGGAGGAAAGAGGAAGCAGGGAGGGGGGAGGGAGGGGAGAGGGGAGCGCTCAGCAAGTCCAGCTCCGATTCCGCACCAAAGTGATGGACAGCGACCCCAGACTGCCCAGCCGCTCCAGCTACTCCAGCTCGATCTTCCTGCGCCCTGGACCTGCGGGATCCCAGCAGACCGCGGGAACAAGGCCACTCCCTAGCCTCCCTGCCCCCACCGTCCTGTGTCTCCTCCAATCTCCGCGGTCTCTCGCCTGTTACCGGCGTCTTGTAAGGGGATTAGTCTGGGGAAAGCAGTTAAGTCCCTAGTACTCCAGTTGTCAGCCCTAGAAAAGATTTCCAAGCGCAATCCAGGAAAATAAACTGAAGGCCCTCAGCTAAGTCTGAGGACCTGGGCGGCGACTCTAACATTTAAAGGAAACAAACGCAGGGGAGGCGCTCAGGGATTACTAGGAAGGGGGCTGATTATTATTTGCCTGATCCCACGTCCTCTCTGTATCACTCTGAAAGTAATATGGAAAGTGCTTGCTTAAATCCTAGGTCAAAGCACAGCGGATAACATGTGCCATCCTATTTCTGGGAACAAACCAAAAACTAGCATCCTGGGATCCAACACTCAATACTGCTCCCAGCCAACTGGGCCTCACTTTCGGTGTGTGCTTTGGCAATAAGTCAATATTTGAGTGTTTAAATTTCTCTCTAAACAATTAGCTCCATGAAACTGCAAGAAAACCTCGTATTTGACCCCTGTTGACCACAGTTGAAATTTTAAAAGATTCATCTCTCAAGATTCATCTCTTCACCGTTGGTTCTGCTTTTCTTTCTTTCTTTTTCATTTTTCATTCAAGACATTTTCTTTCAAGACTGATTTTTAATTTTTTTTTCTTTAATGGATGACAATGTCTTCAAGAGCCTGCAAAATCATTAAATCAGGAAAGTTCCTCTTGATCTTCCAAGCCAGGCTGGAACTCGAACTCTGTTAATACTTTCCAGTTAAAAAAATTTTTTTAACTGCTGTTATTAAGCAAAAAGTAGGAAGCTGGGATTTATCTTATACTAGCAGCGATTTTCATGGTATCTTCTATAAATGAGTGGTCAATGGGCCTCTGGGTTTCTGTGCCCCTAAGACTCCCCTTCTATTGCTCCAAAGGTCAAACATAGATAAATACTCTTCAGTGAATAAGGAAGCAGAAGCAGAGGAAGCCTTCTGTGCTGTGTCATTGCCTCTGCTCGTTCTGAATAGTCATTCTTGCCAGCCCTCTCATCTCTCACACAGAGGTTTAAAATAATCCCCCTT